ATATGGGTGGTATTTTGGTCCTGTCATTTTAGGAATGGGTTGTTCACTGGTTTAGTTTTCTGTTATCATTTAACTGGAATGTTCTTCACATTTGCCTTTGGTTTTGGTGGGCACTATTCCTCCTCTCTGTCAAGAGAACATCTTTAAGTATCCTTTGTAAGGCAGGTTTGAAAGAGGCAAATTCTTTTAAACTTTTCTTTCATATGGAAGAATTTTATTTCATTTTCAAAGAGAAAAGAAAGATTTGCTGGATATGTTATCTTAGGTTGACACTTCTTTTGCTTTTAGAATGTGGAATATGTCGCTCCATTCTCTTGCCTGTAGAGTTTCCTGTGAGAGATCTCCTGTGAGTTTAATTGGCATTCATTTATATGTCAACTGATTTTTTTTCACGTGCACATTTAAGGATCTTTTCCTTATGCTCAATTGAAGAGACCTTGATGATCATGTGAAGATCACTTTTCACCAACCCTGCTGGGAGTTCTGTGCCCCTCCTCAATGTTGTTTCCCAATTCTTTCTCCAGATTAGGGAAATTTTCCTTTATTATTTCATTGAATATACTTTTAATCCAAGTTTCTCTTTCTATACCTTCTGGGACTCCCATAACTCTTATGTTTGGCCTATGAAACACAAGTCGATGGCACTAGTGTACACAAATAATTCCACATATAAGAAATTTTAAGTACAGTCCCCTTTAAAATAGAGAAGAATCTTAAACACCTAGGAATTAAGCTAACTAAATATGTGGAAGACCTCTATGACAAAAACTACAAAACATTTAAAAAGGATATAGAAGATGTTGAAAAATGGAGATATTTACCATGTTCCTGGATAGGCAGGACCAACATCATCATAATGATCATATTATCAAAAGTAATATACAGATTCAATGCAATCCCAACCAAAATCCCAACAACATTCTTATCAGATATAGAAAAGATACAAAGTTCATCTGGAATCACAAAAGACCACAAATAGCCAAAGCTATCCTGCAAAATAGAAATCAAGTTGGAGGAATCACAATTCTAGACCTCAAGACATACTATAGAGCAGTGGTTATCAATACAGTCTGGTACTGGTACAGAAACAAATTCCTGAATACTTTTTTTTGGCCTGATCCAGCTCTGCTTCCAGCTTTTTGTTTGTTTCTCCCTGGTGACAGAAAATATCTTCTAATTTTAAAATTCTTTCTTCTGCCTCCTTTGTTCTATTTTGGAGACTCTCCATTGTATTTATAATTTGTTCCACTGTATTCTTCATTTCTGAAATATCACTTTCATTTGATTCATTTTCAGTGTGACATATTCCTTAAATTCCTTGAATCCTTGCTTTATGTGCTTTTCATTGTTGGTAAGAAGCTTTATAACAAGTGTTTTGAATTCTGTGTCTCTCATTTTCTCAATGTCTTCCTCAGTTAACTCTGAGGTTTGCATATGGTTTTGCTCCTTTGCAGGTGAGTCTTCAGTAAAATTTATTGTGTCTCTGTCTATTTTTGCTCTTGGTCATATTTCTGGTTAGCTGAATCTTCTCCTTGGGACAGGTTTTTTAGGCTGTGTCATCTACAGGTCTACAGTTCGATTTTACTTACTGCAGTTGGTACATGGCTCATTGTTTGCAGCCAATTGTTCCACTCCGTTCTGTGTGTTGGGTTTTTACGTTGGATTTCCACCATGGTCTCCGTAGTCCCAGCTCCTGGTTCACCACTCTCCACAACCATTCTCCCACTTCCCGTTGGAGCAGCTGTGAGGATTAGGGAGACACCAGGTGTCCTATATAGCTAGGTTGTTGGTGGCGCTGATCTTGCAGAAACCTGTGGCTATTAGGTCTGAGAACCACAAGGTCCTATTTTGACCTGTACGATGCCATAGTCAGTATTATTTTCCTATGGGACCAGTGCAATGCACTGAGCTCAGTGGGTTCTCGCCAAGCTCAGCACATGCGCAGCTCACTGTTGTCCCCTGCAGTCCTAAAACTTTTGCTACACTGCACAAAATGGTGCCTGACGTATCACTACTAGAGTTCCCAATCTGCTGGCCATCAGGTCTGAGGGCTACCTGGGCCTGTCTTGTGTGGAACCTGTAGGAAACCACGCTGTAGCAGTGCGCTGAATCATAAATGGGTTCACTCCCGGCTCAGAGTATGTTCAGAACTTTCTCATGTCTTTTCCTCCTTAAACAAAATGAAGCTGATTCAGCTCTATGGGGGCGGACCAGGCTGTGAAATCCACCCTGTTTCTGCACTGCCCATCTGGGATCTGCTGCTCTGTCTTTGCTCCTGGTCAAATCAAATGGATCAGCAGGTCGAGCAGTTCTTCTTCTTTTTTTTTTTTAAAGATTTATTCATTTTTATTACAAAGTCAGATATACAGAGAGGAGGAGAGATAGAGAAGAAGGTCTTTCGTCTGATGATTCACTCCCCACGTGAGCCACAATGGCCCGTACTGCACCGATCTGAAGCCAGGAACCAGCAACCTCTTCCGGGTTTCCCACACGGGTGCAGGGTCCCAAAGCTTTTGGCCATCCTCCACTGCTTTCCCAGGCCACAAGCAGGGAGCAGGATGGGAAGTGGGGCCGCCAGGATTAGAACCAGCGCCCATATGGGATCCCGGGGGGGTTCAAGGTGAGGACTTTAGCTGCTAGGACACACTGTGGACCCAAGTAGTTCTTTATTTAGGTTCACCTCCAGGGCTCCCAGTGAAAGTCCCTTCCCACATGGTTGCTGGTGGAATTCCGGGTGCTGGTGGAGTTCAGATTGCCGTTAGCTGAGTGCCACTGGAGTATCAGTCATTGCAACACCACACCATTGTGTCCACTGCTCACCTGTGTCTGTCAGTCTCCAGGTACCCCTCTGCTGTTGTTCTGTCCTCTCCTATTTCCTGGAATGTGCCCTCTCTGCTTCATACTGGTTAATGTTTCTCTGTCCATTTCAATGTGTCCTTATCCTATTCCGCCATCTAGATTCCCCCTCGGTTCATTATTCATTCATTTTAAATGTTGAGAAGCCTTCTCTGAGTTAGGAAAGTTTGTGATACGGAGAAGTGGATAGTGTTACTCGGCAGAGGAAGCCCAGCTGTGATTTGACAGCTGCAACTGATTAGCCGAGCAATGCAGGCAACCATTTGACAGCTCTCGGTGACCCGTGCAGTACTACTAGCTACCGCTGAACTGCTGCATCCAATCCACACAACAGTGCGGTCACTGACTGACAATTCCAGGTGACCTGCAATGTGACAGCTGCAGTACAACTCACCACAAGGCAGCTCCAGCAGCCTGTGGCAGGACAGCCGCAGCCAGCCATGCATAATTGGCCAGCCTGGTTTGCACATCACTCCCTCCTTCCATGTTCTACTCAAAACCTTCCTTTTCTGTCCATCATGTAGACCTCCTTTTCTGTGCACCATTCAGGCCTGCATTCCATGCACCACCAAGCCTTTACATGCTTGAGAAACCACAAGTTCCACAACACTACAAAACTTGGAACAAGTACCAGTTAGAAATAACCAATTTTCAGCAGCAGTATATGTCCGAGTGATGGCCATTGGCTCATCATAATGTCAATAAAAAAAAATTATCACAGGTGGTACTCCCAACTCCATGATGCACTTGATACCATGACACTTGCAAGAACACAGAAATGGCTGGTATAAAAACTCCACCCCCTATGAATATGCAATTAAACTCAACTCCACACATTACCTCCTAAGACTCCAGGTAGCATAAAGGGACAACCTAGCCATGTTGAGTGGAGTTTTTGCTTTTCACTATGAGTTTTCTTTTTCTTGTTTGGTGCCTTATGTGTTTTTGGCATTTTGTTCATTCTCCTTCAAACTTGCCTACATGTTTCCTCTGCTTTGAATAAATCTTACTTCCCTGCACATCTTTATGTATCCTCTTTTTGAATTCTGACATTTGTAGAGGGAAGAACCTGGGATAAATCTAGCTCGGGACCAATTGTGGGTAATTTTATTATTTGTATTCTGTTTGTTCATAGTATATACGAATACACATCTATAAATAAAATTCTGGCACTAGAAAATATGTTAAGAACTATTTTCAGAAACCCTGCATAAGTTACTCAATGCTGAATTGATGTTTGTGTGGCTCTTTGTACTTAATCAGGTCATTCTAAATACTGATCTACAAAGCAGCTGAGGGAAATATGACTGCTATTTCAGAGAGGAGGAAACAGGTGTGACGAGCAGAATCCAGAGAGGAATCCAGAGCTCATCTTCCAAATGCCATGGTTCCTGTTTCTTGTCCTCAATGTACTTATGAGTCAGGATGCACCACTGGATGCATGAATCCCACAGGAATGTATCTTTCATAGATCAGAAGTAAAACTGTTATACACACCTGTACACACACACACACCCATAGTATTCAAGCAAAAAGGAATGTATGAAGATACTTCAGAAGGTTTAGGGAAAACAGAATTAAAAAAATCTTTTTGTTACCCCAAATTTAAAATACAGGCATATTTTTGTCACAGTATAAATTTCTGCAAACTTTGTGAAGATAAGCATGGCTTTCGAAATTTCTACACCAAAATATTTATATGTTAATTCCACCTTTCACAAACTTTTGAAAGTACACTTGTGTATATAGTTTTTTCTAACTCAGCACTATTTGAGAAAATAAATGTCCTGGAAAACCAAGACATGTTGGAGATGGATTTTTCCCTCTTGGTTATTACACCCTGTAATCTAAATTTCATTTCAATCCTATTCAAGAAGGAAAAAGGAAATCTGGCAACAAAAAAAATGAAATCACTCAGGGAGACAGTTAAGATGGTACCAAACGAGGAACTAAGGTTATAGGTACCTTGGCACTGCTATTCATACAGAAGAAAGAATCAGGGGAGGGCTTGGGAGAAGAAAGACAAAGGGAAGATAGAACTGTACAACGTAAGAGGTTTTGGATCCTAAGTGAGAATCGCAAGCATTTCCACCAGAAGAACTTGGAACAGGTGCATCAGAGGGTGAGTGAAGTGCCAAGGCTACCTTCATTCCTGCTGCTGCGGCAGGGCCACTGGGGTCCACGGCTTGGATGTGGCACGGCTTGCTTCCTCTCACCACAAAGCCCCAGCCAACAGCGTCCCCAACAATCTGGGAAAGAAAACCACAATGAGAACCTGGCAGGCAGATCCTAGCAATTCGCTTGTCTTCCCAAGAAAGGGAGAAACTGCCTATGGCTGAGGACAAGCACAGGTGCATCTCTCCCCCGCATGTTCTCTGGCCTGTCAGAGGATCAGAACCCCTTCCTCTATCACAGACTCGGGCCTGTCTCGGAGGAACAAGTGGTAGCAAATGTGACCCGTGGTGCCAAAAGAAGCTGTTTTCCTGGGACATGGCTCCATAAGTAACTGGCAGAGTGCGTCTTTCTGAGGCTGCTTCTCAATGGAATAGCAGACTCCGTTAGGATGTTCAGAAGACCTTTTTTTTTTATATTTATTTTTATTATTTTTTTATTTTTTATTGGAAAGGCAGATATACAGAGAGGAGAGACAGAGAGGAAGATCTTCTGTCCCATGATTCACTCCCCAAGTGAGCACAACGGCCGATGCTATGCCGATCCAAAGCCAGGAGCCTCTTCCAGGTCTCCCACGCGGGTGCAGGGTCCCAAAGCTTTGGGCCGTCCTCAACTGCCTTCCCGGGCCACAGGCAGGGAGCTGGAAGGGAAGTGGGGCTGCTGGGATAGAACTGGCGCCCATATGGGATCCCGGGCATGCAAAGTGAGGACCTTAACCACTTGCGCCACTGTGCCAGATCTTAAAACACTGATTGGAATGTTTCTCCACATCTAGCCTCTGTAACCAAGTTTGTCTTTCTCCTGGAGATCCCAGTGATAAACTTACCTTGCTACATCAGTGAGGCGAAGTGTAACAGTTCAAATTACTAACAGCAGGAAATATGGAAACTCTTAACTTCGCTGAACCCAAATTTACTCTACCAAGAAAACAATGTAAAAAGTACACAGCATCCACAATGAACAAACAGAGTCTGATCCAAAAGCTTTTTGGGACCAGAGAGTGCCTTTTCCTATAGAACCACTTACTAGAATTGGCGTTTATATTCCCTGAGCTCCTCTTTAATACACATCCCAAATGAAACACACAGAGACACATAGTTACAATCATTTAGCAGCAATGCTAGCATTTAAACATAATTTCAAAAAAGAAAACTTTCAAAACACTCAGTCCACTGAGTGCAGGAGAAGCTACACATTGACCCATTGCCATGGCACAGAAAACTGAGTGGCCCAGAAGAACAAAAAAAGCCCAATGAGAAGCAGCCTACCGTGAACGTCTTCCTGGCGTATGGAGCCCCAGGGGTCAGGAGTTCTTCCGAAGTGACGGGTCGCTTCAGCACTGTGAGATAGACACTGTGTCAGGAGTCACGCTTCCTGGTCTACCTGCCCTCGTCTATTTATCAGAAAATACACGGTCTATGCGAGACCACCCATACGCAGGAGCGAAGATCCCTGCATCCCAGTTTCTGCTCGAGCTGAAATAGAAAACCTCAGCTAACATCAACAACCCTAGATGTAACTCACAGAGCTGGGAAAAAGAAAAACAAAGGGAAAGGAAGCAGGTCTAACAGATGGGAGTTGAAACTGTCTATTAAGAAGAGAGCCTTGTTTACTACTGCTCCCATTTCTTCCTGAGGAATCCTCAGATGCATTTATATACTTCAAATAGAAGAAAAGCTGATGCCAGCAGTTTGATAGCCACATCCAACCGTTTCCCCTAACATATCTTACACATCCCACACACTAACTTAGTTCCCTTGTTAACACCGAGGGCTACATGCAACACACTGCTGAAGGATTGTGTAATAACGCTAGTGAATCTTTCTGAACACTCAGCAGGTGCCATGCACTATGCTAGGTGAATGCTAGATACATTCTCTCATTTAAATCACACACAGTATGAGCTAGACTCATTATTATACCCACTGTGCAACAAAGAAGCTTAGAAAAGTTCAACTGCTCACATCCAAGAGTTCAATGCTAAGTCAGTAGAGTTCAGATCAAACGCAGGTGCCAGATTTCAGCACCCACATCCTTGGACATCATGCTATGCATTTCCTCTTGAGCTCTGGTACATTTTAAGCACATTACATAATGTAGAAGCTCAGAATTTAGTGCCCTGTTGTGCTCCCAAGATATCTGCCCTTACTGACTCACTACTGCTGCCCATTACACTGGCAAAGCCAACTGCCCAGCTCTGACTCTGCCTAAAATCCCACCAACAACAGCCTTTCCCATTCATCTTGTGCTCACAATGGCTGGAGAAGCAACAGCCCAAGATACCACAGCAGCCAGTGGTTCAAGAGACAGGGATCATTCTAACTCTAGTTATGAGGACATCTCAAACCACCATAAAGGAATGAAAGGATGAGGCCAGGGCCCTAACCTGACACATACCCGACTCACTGGGCAGCTGGGCCTCACCTGCCAGCCACATGTGCAGCCTCTGGCTCAACAAGCACCCTCCTGAGTGACCATCGAGTGATTCTTGTTGGGAGTGATAGGTGGTTGGGCAGTTTGCTTTCAAAAAGTTTATACAGGAGAAAATAAATTTTTTATTCGCCAAACAAGAGGAACAGGTCAAACAGCACAATGGGAACAGACTCACAGTAGATGGAAAGAACGAACCAAAAGTAGTTTGTGCTTGAGGAATATAGTCTTATTTCTCTGACTACCAAGAAACTTTCCTCATCAATGCTCTGGGAATTTGTGAGTTTGGATATGGAAATCCCACAATATTATTTAGTAACAGTACTGGTGATTTATTTTAGTATCCATTTCTCATTATATCCAAAACATAGAAATTCTGAAGTCCAAATAATTGCTTCATATCCTTGGAAGTTTTAGTCTCCCCAGTGACACTAATAATATTTACTGTATTTGACTGTTTAGAGTGGGGGATTGCCTGGATTAGAACATTTACATACAGAATTAAAAGATATCCTGGTGTAAATAAGATGATCATCTAAAGGTCACACTGTAAATCCCCAATTATCTGCCTGGGGGGGGGGGAACATACATGAGCTCACTGGGTTTTGTGAACTTCAGAGCAAGGGAGAAACTTTTCAAAATATGGGAAAGAGGTTTAGGTGTTACGGCACAACACATGATGCTCATGTTTGGGACATTTTCACTCTATTCCAAAGTGCCTGGCATCAAGTCCCAGCTCCTCTTCTATTCCAGCTTCCTGTTAATGCGCTTGGCATGCAACAGACAACAGTTCAAGTATTTGGGTCTCTGTCACTCATGTGGCAGACAAGGATAGAAGTTTTGGCTGCTGGCTTTGCTATGGTCATTCAGAAAATGATCCTGAAGATGAAAGATTTCTCTTTGTCATTGTCATTCAAATAAAGCTTTTTAAAAATCAGTAAACTTTTCTAAGGCCAGAGGTCAAGAGAAAGTGGGAAACTATCCTACCCTCCTCAGGGAGCACGAAGGACGGCTCATTTCAGCAGGTAACATTTGGTTCACATTCCATCATTTAAAGACTGATACAACTCACACTTTCTTTAAATCGAGATCTTTTGTTTTCATCTTTGTGTCTCCCAACATCTACCAATGAAGAAACATGAAAAAGAAAAGAAACCTCGTTCTTACAGGTGCCTGTGTGAACTGAGAACGGACAATGCACTGAAAAAATGGCCATGAGAGTATTTTTAACCTAAGACAATAATGATGGGCCATACAAGGCTACCATAATATTTCTAAAAAAGAAGCGCCTCATAGTACAGATGAGGAGGATGGCAAAGAGCAGCCTGTGAGAGACTTCCCTAACGGGAGACGCCACCTTAACGTGGCTAGGAAAGAAATGGCTTATACTACAGATGAAGATGAAAAAGAACGTGTGAGAGACCCTCCTAGATGCCACTGTAATGCAGCTAAAAGAGAAAGGCCTTATGCTGCAGATGTGGAAATTAGGAAAAGAAAACTCAGGAGAAATTCTCCTAATGAAAGATGTTACCATAATGTGACTGAAAATGAAATGAGAACTAAGAAAAAGAAGAAAATTTGTAGTGTTAAACCACAGGATTTCTCTAGTGAGGTAAACAAGGATAGGATAATGGAAGAGTTAAATACCAGCCCATGCCATCTCACTCTTAAATCTGATCAAAGACGTTTCCAAATGTCTGATGTTCCCTGGAGACCTCATGAATTCCGACTGCTTTTTCCAATCATACTTAGTCAAGAAAACCATCAACCTATCTATGAAAGCCCAGATGTTAATGCCATCACAGCTTTTAAAAAGGCTTGCTTGTCCTACGGACCTACTTCTTCGTATGTGTGGGAATATTTAAATGGCTGGAGCCAGGCAGCAAACTGGATTCCTTATGATTTTGAAGTAATAGCAAAAATATGACTTTCTCCTTCTCAATATTTACAATGCAAAATGTGGAGAAGCGATATGGCTAAGGAAAAATTGCGATCGTTAGGAGCATCAGGTCGCCAACTCCCTGGAGGGGGGCAATTGACTTATGATATGTTAGTCGGAGATGGACAGTGCATTACTACAGAGCAACAGATACTGCTACCTCAAGCTGCGTTCATTCATATACGAGACGTAGCATTGTGGGCATGGGAGAAAATTGAAGCTGGGTCTGAATTTGCAGGCAGTTATACAAAAGTCTTTCAAGGAGCCAGAGAATCTTATGCTGATTTTGTAAGGTGTTTGACAGACTCCATAGAAAAACAAGTTAGAGGAGAAGGCACTAGGAAATTGTTATTAAAGCAACTGGCTTTTGAGAATGCAAATGAGGATTGCCAGGCTGTTATTCGTCCTATAAAAGAAAAGGAAGATCTTTTGGGTTACCTCAAAGCCTGTCCCAACATAGGCACATTTAAACACCATGCCTGCCTAGCAGCACTTGAAACTTTTGCCATTCAAAAGCAAATTAATGCTAAATGTTTTAACTGTGGCAAGCCAGGACACCTGAGAAAAAATTGCTGGATGCTTCCTACAACTCAAAGATACCACGCTGATACTTCTAACAGTCACTCCCCAGGAATATGTCCTAAGTGCCAAAGAGGCCTGCACTGCAAAAAGGAATGTAAATCTAAAGTTGGTCATGGTGGCAGACGCCTGTGGCCAGAAGACTCCTGGAGAAGCCATTCCCAGGTCCCAAACATTCAGGAATTTACAAAACAGGAACATCCTATTCAATTTGTGCCTGCAGTGAAGCTTCAAACTTAAAATAGCCAGCAAGTAAATCCTGGAGGCTGAAATTTCAATCAATTGTGGTGAATGCATGTTATTCATATAGCACTTTTTCTATACAGCATTGCTTAATCATGTATGCCAATTTTTAAGTACAAGTTTTTATATCAAGTTATGTTCTCTGTCTCATTAAGTTCTTATTGTTTAAAATTAACAAAGTGATGTTCTTGCTTTAAGGAGTATTTGGGCGACGGATAAGGTGAAAGTTTGCTGTTTTTTGTGTTAATGTACCCAGGTTGTAACTGCATGTCTTTTGGAATATTTTATAATGCTGAGGACACTGGGATACAAGAAAACTGGGATACAGGCCTTCAGTTTAACTGCTAGATTTCACTATATTGACCAATTTCAAGGTCTTTTGTTGTGATAAATGTTTAGCTAACTGATTTCATCTGCATATCCACTACAACTTTTGGGAACTTGGAATTCAAAGAAAAGACTGGGCTTTTGTAAATCTTGAGGGTTTTTTGGGGGGACATTTAAAAAAAAACGGGGTGAAGTTTTATCGTAATTTTGGTATAGAATTGAACTGTAACACACTGTTAGATTATTTCAAGCTATAAGTTAAATTAATGTGATATCGTCTATAAAGTGTTTGCATGTATTAATGTAATTCTCATATTTTTGGCTAGTTATCAAATCTCTCACTGCCTTTAATGTGTCAAGGTTTTGTATTTGTTTTAAAGATATCTGAGTGATGTTCTCACATCAATAACCAATTGTAATGTATAATGTGTCATGCTAACTTCAACAACAAATCTTTCAGATATTTTCAGCTACCTTTAAAAAAGCATTTAAGTATTCAAATGTTTCAAATCCTAGGGCTTCCCTTGGTATTCTTACGAGGCCTCAAGAATGCCAACGGATCTATCTCCCATTTTGTGGAGACAGTTGACCAGACTATTGAATTATATTAAGATTATTGCCAAATGCAACATGGAGTAAAATTTTACTGTGTCAAAATGGTGTATGCTTCCATGGAATTGTGAAGGTTTAAATTTTAGTTTACATGTTTTTAATGATAATGGTTGTTAACTATGTATTCTTATGATGCCTATGTTACTGGGAAGACTGAAATTTGCATTTTTAGATTGATAGAGGGATTTCATAGCGGCGATCAATGTTTTTCACTGAGTTTCTTGGTTCAAGACTATTGATTTAATATCATTTCGTTTACAGGTTTCTGGTGAACACTACTACTAAGCTTGGTTGAGAATGATATTTTAAGTCTCCAAAAGCGTGTGTGTGTCTGTGTGTGTGTGCGCGCATACATGTGTGTCTTAACGTTTTGTGTTTTGCAAAAGTTATTCAAAATTGTTATCATGTGTTGCTGTTTATCAACAAGAACAGGTAGTCTTGGGACTATGGCAACCTACAACCACTCCCCAGAGCTTTCTGATAGAATTGTAAAAGTATCTACATGATTTTAAACTGTTACTAAATCTAATTTACTTTGTCCAACAATATATGTTTTAAAATCAGAGGGGGGAATATGCTACCCCTGTGCGTGCATTAATTTGGTCTTATTCACCTTAAATTTTCTTCAGATTTTGCCTTTTAGTGAGCAGCAGCTCTGTGTTACTGGAGGCAGTTTGCAGGCCTAATGCAGATGTCTTTGGTTTGATGGAGGGACCTAGCCACTCACAAGTGTAGAGGTCCTGACTCCTTGCTAACTGTGGGAAGAGGATATGCTTATTTTCCCAGGAACTGAGCTGCAGCCTGTGTGGATGCCTACTCGTAATGTAAAGTCTTGGACTCCATTCACTGGAGGAAGCTCCTGCAGTAAGACAGCTTCACGACCTCATCCTGAAAGATCCATCACCATCAAGGAAACATTGGAGGAGGAGGAGGAGGCCAGACAGCTCCCAATACCAGGTGACATGGGAGGTTCTAAGAGATTGGTGCATCAAGCACAACTGTCCCTGACATAATGTACTTGATAATACAACTGAATAATTGATACTGTGGAGCACTAATAATCTGGAAAAGGTTATGCTCTTATCCCTAGAATTTCCTGATAGATCCTCAAAACTGTGGTTTCCCTATGGCTCATCTGACCTTGGAAGTGTAGCTACTCCATTCAACGCAGCGCTGCTCCTGGAGAAGATGGAACCCCCAGTGGAACTGCCTCTAAGAACTGAAAACTAAATTTGTTTAATATTCCTCTTGTTCCACTACAGGTCAGGAGTGCAGAGAAATTCTCCACCTTCTTAGGATGTTTGAGGAAGACTTTAAGTGTAAATTATTATTCATAGGTAATAAATTCTTAACTGCCTTAGACATCAGAAAAGCCATATTAATTTGTGGTGGGATCCAAGGACGACTCTGACACCCTCTTAAAGGAGGTTGTGTGTACAGAGCAGGAAGGGATCTCAAGGCGGAGCAGGAGGATAAGAGGAGCTCTCTATCCTAGTCCCAGAGACCCCCGGAGGTCTCCCATGTGCTTTCACTACAGAAGCAGTGGATGCCTGCCTCATCAAGGAGGACCATATCCCGACTGCCAAGGGGATTACAAGGAAAGTGAGTGCCCTTGGAGGCCGAGAACTCTGAGGTCAGTCCTTTCCTAGTGAATTTCCCACACGGGATTGAAGCAGCCCAGTTCCCTGGTGATAGGGTCTGGTGACATTGGAACTTCAGCCAGGAGCCCCGGGTGGCACTCAGAGACAAGTGGACTCAGAGGAGGAGCTTGCTCTAATTCTTACCTAGCTCCAGCCGTGGTTCCCAGCCCTCTCTTACACCGACCATCAGGGTTGCTTGTGAGCCCCAAAATTATTTTAGATACTAGAGACTAATAAAGGTCAGCTAACTGATAATCACTCAACTTGTACCTAACTGATCAGGCTACAGAGAGACATGGATATAGAACATTTGGAACAGTCAGAACAAAGGCCATTAACCTATAATCGCTCAGCTTGTACTTACTGGTCAGGCTCCCTATTTGCTTTTTATGGACTTTACTAGGTTAGGATATAGAGTTAAATTCTTCCTCATTCACTAAGTTGTTGGAGATTTCCCTGCTTACCTGCCTAACGCTTTTCTATGATTTGGTAGAATTATAAGACTGTTACTTCAATTATATAAATGGCAAGGCTTAAATTGTAAGTTGAGTTCCTCCCCAAAACTTTCATCAACTGTTAATGCTAACTGTATAGAAACTATGATGTTAAGTTTATACTCAGCTGTTACATATGATGGATGTTAACTGTTCACTGTTCTTGTGCAACTCTGATTTAGGTTGAATTCAAAAACATGTTAGTTCGGGAGAAATTATAGCTGTTTCTTCTGCTCTTCCAAGAGCATGTTCCCCCAGCTACAAGTTTCAGGCCTAATTTTATAAAACACAGAAGGGGGATTTGTAGGAGGACATTGTGAGCCTGGAAGGTCAGCGAGCACAGGTTTGCAGTTCATTGGACAGTATTTGCATGACAACAACCAAATGGCTACCTTTGATATAAACAGCATGTAAATGAGAACACCTGGTGTAATATACAAAACAAAAGGAATTCCAATCAAGAGAGGGAAACAGTACAGACTCTCAGTGTATAAAGTCTGAGGCCCCTAATAAACTTCGGCTTTGACCATCAGTCAGGGTCCACGCGTGTTATTATCGGCTCTGTGCACCAAGTCCGTCGCTGTGGGACAGCGACAGGCCAGTGAGGAGGTGGCAGTACCAGTGGAATACAGGCCCCGATGTCTTAAAGAACTGAGGCTTAGGATGGCCTACTCTAAGTACAAGGTGGAATACAGGCCCCAGTGTCAAAGAACTGAGGCTTAGGATGTGTTCAGCAGTAGACTCTAAATCTAGATTTTCTTTTCTTTAATGCAATGTAAGATCATGGACACTGTTGAGTAGATAGTAAAACAGCAAGGGTCAATTCCAAGGAGAGTTGGGTTTGCATTGACCCACACTTATTCTTTAGGGATGTACAGGCCACAAAAGGTCCTTGAATCTGCTACAGTCCAGAGAATACACTCCCTCTTGTAGCCAACAGTATCTCACTCTGCCCAAAGTTACAGGACTCCTTCCCAGCTGCTGGGAGGGCTCATGGCTATACTCAACTGTCTTTGGCAACTCGGGAGTCAGCTGCTTTACCAAAGGTCATCCGTTCCTCTCAAGCAGCATCTGATACCTAATCACAGGGTACCCTATGGGTATACAAGCAAGAACCTTGACATGGCTGCAGAAACTGCAGCCCAATTTCTGTCCAGGCCTACTTCTCCTCTTCTATTCAACAAGTGTTGATCCAAACAGCATGCTTTGAAAAGACTTCCACACTCCAAACTCATTCTGCCTCAGGATCCACTCCTACAGTCAGGGTCAGCAACAGGCCGGCTGGTGTGCACTCACCAGACTTGGGGTTGCAGAGTACAGGGGGGCTGCTGCTGAGTGTGGGACTGCTGCTGAAGTAGCCACTGCTGCCACAGCTGCTCATACTGCTCCTCCGCATGGCCGACGCAATCTTGATCTCTTTGCTGGGGCTGACTGTGCAGGCAGAAAACACATGTCAAAGAGTGGGAAGCCTTGGGTCCCTAGAGAATGTGGGCTTTTGGCAACACAGTGGAGAAAGGCTAGAGCAAGATGATTTACTGTGGGAGTCAGCAAATCAAGAATGTGAGTTGTGGTTCTGCTCGTCACTCAAAGCACAATGCATGCCCATTCTCCTCAGTTCTTTGGGCCTCCATTTTCTCAACTGGGAAGTGAGAAGATGGCTACAAAGTGCAATTCCACCACAGACATGAAAGTGTGATGTTATTTCTAACGAATCTCTTCCGATTTCCTATTAAACCATGGATCACCCAGATCTGTGGAAGGAGGAACTGAGTCCACAGAACACACGTTCAGGCTTTGAAAACACATGGGAATCAGTGTCTTCTGCTTTCCCCAGGAGGATCTTCTTGCCATGCACTCAGCTGCCTTTCAACAAGGGGCATGCATGTGACCAAGTGATAGAAGCTGTGGAAAACTCCTCTCCTAGGACCTAGCACAAAAACAGCATTAAATAAATGCTGGCTTGATGGACCATGGTGACCCCACATACTACTGACGTCAGTTTTTCAGGCCCATTGGGCCCACTCAAGAAATAGGTATACTTCTTCACCAGTGAAAGGTGAACGGTCTCAATGTACCTATAGAAAACCTCAGACTTGAAGAGGCATACAACTGGCCTGTCCTCTGCATCTGGTCAGTTGGCCCAAGGAGGCGTCTGAGTCTCAGAAGAGTTTCCTTTCCCACAGCCACTCTTGGCTCATTCTCATCTCCAACCAGCTGTGTCAGAGAAACCAGGAATGTGTGAGGTTGGGAGTAGGCAATGTAATAATACAAGCATTGAAGAAAGACAGCTCTGCCCAACACAGTTCAACCTTGACCAAGCCACTGTATTGCTCTCTGTCTTACTTTATTCCACTGCAAAACACAAGACATTCTTCTTTACAGGGTGATTTGAGAATTGAAGGAGAAAGTCCAGGTACCCAAGCTTGGCTCAGTGCCTTGAGTACACAAGAATTTCCACTCCTGGTTATACATTCATTGTCAGCTTCGATTAGCAAGTAACACATGGCACTGAAGTTCATTTGGCTCTGGGTCACAGGTCAAATCCAAAAATTTTCAGAAGCAATGCCAACTTCAGGAGAACTGAGGGAACTCCTGTAAGCCCTTTGACAAAATGATACTTACTTCACTGTCACTTTTTCTAGATGCGGGGCTATCCTTGTGGAGGTACACCGCCCTCATTTCAATCAGGGCTGCTGGGGAATGAGACAGTTGACCATACAGGTGACATCACAGGATGTCATTCTTGCGAGTTCCTGAGTCTTGATAATCAGTTATCTTTTACTTGTCATTAGTATATCAGCACTTCAGAACGTTCTCAGAGAAACTGAATTAAAAGATGTGCATTTAGCTACCAAAAATGATTTAAATGTGTACATAGTTTTTTCATAATATGAAATTTCTTTGGACATTTTGGAAATCCTTTGTTGTTCCATTATTATTCACCTTCAAAAAAGCTTTTCTAAGTTGTGATTTAGAAATCAGTCATTAGTGATATGTAAGAACTGGTTACAAGTGAAGAATAAATAGGTATGAGCGAAAGTTTGAGAGGGCTTTTATAAATCTAGTATAAACTTTTTGTAAAACTGACACCAAGGCATCTAGACTGCCTGTGCAGGGACACCTGCGTGTTTGGATTTATGTTTCTGCACACTTCTTAGGCAGGATTTAAATTAAAACTTGTGGGGAACAGAATTTTACAGAATTGAGTTATTACTCCACAAGTTCCCAAAAGACAAATGCAGCATCCCAAAGCCCAGTGGAACTGGCATACCTGACATAAAGCTGGTAGATTTCCGGTTGTCATGGCTCTGCTTTCTCAGGCAGAAAGGACTGTCATGCGTGTCCTGGGATGAGGGGGACTTCTCATTGAGCAGCTCCATCAATCTTCGCCTCCGACGGAAGTTCATTCTGAACTGGTAGAGAAGATTGCTGTCCACAAATGGGTGCTTGTTGGACACTGGGGAGAAGACACAGCAGATGTGGAATGTCCGGTGGCTGGGCCACTGAGAGCTTACGTAGACCAATCCCAGCCAACAGAGAAAACACTCTACATCTAGAGATGTCATCAACCTGTGGTCCCCAGTTCCTTCCATATGTCATGACCAGTTCCTTTGGGAAACCAAACCCTGAACTATGCTGTTCTTGACACACTCTCCTGCCACCCCAGAGAACCCAGCACTCTGCTTTCTCATTGTCCACTTACTTTCCTGCTTCTGCTCAATTGTAGGTTGTCTTATGCAGAGATAGTGGCTTCATTTAATTGCACATTCCCAGCAGTGCTTGCTGATCCTTATACTAACACCTCAGTTCCTTTTGTTAAAATGTGTATTTTTAAAAACATAGTTAAAAAAAATAATACAGAGGGACCTGGCACAATGGCTCAAAGGCTCAATGGCTCAATCCTCACCTTGCAAGAGCCAAGATCCCAAATGGGCATTGGTTCGTGTCCCAGCTGTATCACTTCTCATCCAACTCATTGCTTGTAGTCTGGGAAAGCAGTAGAGGATGACCCAATGCCTTGGGATGCTGCACCCACATTGGAGACCTAGAAGAAGCGCCTGGCTCCTGGCTCCAGAAAGGCTTAGCACCAGCCATCGCAGCCATTTGGGGAGTGAATCAGGGGATGGAAGATCTTTATATCTCCTTCTCTCTGTAAGTATGATCTGCCTTTCTAATAAAAATAAATAAGTCTATTTTTAAATGATACAGAGACCACACATTTCTTGATTCCACACATATGAAAAGTCCAGAACAGGGTGCAGAAATGGGTATTACCCAAAGTATGGGGTTTCTTTTTAAAGCGATAAAAAATGTTCCAAAATTGCTCATCATGACAATTACACCACTCTGTGAATATGCTGAAGACCACTTAATTATACACTTAAAATGGGTGAACTGTAGAGTATATGAAATATAGCCCAATAAAGCTATATTATAAAAAATCAACAACAAATATCATAGAGTTCCTATGGAATCTTCACCCAGATTCTCCCAATGATTACATCCAAACATTATAGGAAAATACGAAGATCTTGATGAGCCACAGGTTTATATAGATTTTGCCAGTTTTACATGCACTCATTCACATACATGAGTGTATCTGTTTATGTTTATCCATATGATAACAAGCAAATATCACAACCAACATACAAAATTATGCCATCATAACAAACTTCTCTCTGCTAAATGCAATCTCCATCTCTGAAATGTTATCATGCCTGAAGCTTGTATAAATGGAATCGCAGAGAAAGGAGCTGTTTAAACTTATTTAATAATTGTGTAAATGGGTATTGAATAATAAAACATGCTTTTTTCCTAAGAAAATATATGATGTGATCATGCCCTTGTATCAATTCAAAATTAATCAAAGCTAGCCCTAATACAGCATATTTTATGGATCCAGTTCTATTTTAAGTGTCATATATAAGTGTGTGTGTATATATATATATATATATATATATACATGAATTCCTTTACAATAACAGCCACATTTAAATACTGCTATTTTCCCCCCAATTTTTGATGAGGAAACTGGAGGCCCAAAGTATGTTACTCAAAGATGACCCAGTAAATGGCAGAGGTAGAAATACAATTGCAGTATCTGATCCCCAGTCTAAGTTCTAAACCATACTTCCTGCCTCTGTGAAAAAAAAAAAATCCTCACGTTTGCTCAGATTGTCCTAAAAAATTAAAATAGTGGCCAATGTTTGATGTGGTAGCTAAGATTCATCTTGAAATGTGCATAGCTCATATTAGAATCTTTGGGTTTAATTTCTGGTTCTATTTCCTGTCCAGCTTCCTGCTAACATCTACTCTGAATAGTAGCAGCTGACAGCTAAAACACTTGGCTCGCGGCCACTAATATGAGGACACCAAGTGGTTCTTTGCACCCAGCAAGTCCAACCCTGGCTGCTGTGGGAACTTGGAGAGTAAACCAGTACATGGAAAATATTTCTTCTCTCTCTCTCTCTCTCTCTCTCTCTCTCTCTCCATTTCTCTCCTTCCTTCCATGTATATCTACATAATTCTCAAACAAATAAATATTTTGAAAATTGAGACAATATCACATAACATCGCTAACAATTGGCTATTTGACTACAAATAGCCAAATTACCATTTATATGTTACAGATCTGATGATATTGATTTAAATCTTAAAATTTATACTTTGAGATCATGGAGCAGATGAGACATTGACATCTTTGAGTTCTGGAGTGTGAGACATTAACTTCAAAACACATGTTGTAGGGTCAAATAGGGTCCCTAGCAAATAAGCAGAAATTGCAAATTCACTTGTGCCACCTGAAGTCTCAAATCACTCCTCCACCCAATCCAAAGACGTGGACGACCATAAGAAGATAAAGCAATGGCCAATTAGCACACAAGAAGAGGCACAAAATTAGTAGTTAAATAGAAATGCAAATTCAAGGCACAATGAAATGTCATTTCATTCCCAATAGAATCCATTAGGTGAAAAAATGGACAACGCAATGGCTAGTAAGGATATGGACCAAGTGGAACTCTCCCTTTGCTTTGGGGGATGCAAAGCAATAAAACCAGGTTGGAAAATGGCTTGAAAGATTATGAAGTTATGCAAATATATCAGCAGCTATACCACAGAAATGAACCCAAAGCAAAACTGTTCACAAGAAAGCTCACTGTAGCATTCAGGGTTGCTAGAAGTTGCAAACATGTCAATCAATAGGCAAGCAGATAAGGTAAATTTTGGCATATTCACCAAAAAATGACTCAAGAATGAAGATTAATGAACTACTGATATATGAAATAACATATGCAATGACAACAAATATGCTGAATGAGAAAAGCCAAATGTAAAACACATAGCCTGAAAGATTTAATTTCCATGACACAAAACTTAAAACAGAAACATAAAGTGGTTGCTTGACAAGCATAGAGGTAAAGATTGACTGGAAGAGGAAATCCTTCTGCCTATGGAACTGTGGCAAAAAAAATAAAATATTTTTTTAAAAGGCTGTGTGGAAAGGCTCAGAAATAAATTTGTTGTGATCATGAAACTAGGCTCCATGTTGTTCTGATAATGGTCACATCTATGTATACATCAGACTAAATACTTAGTTTTATTTCTATTATTTGATTATATTGCATTGCATCAATTTTTTTTTAAAAAAAGAGGAAAACTAAACCTCCTTAACTGGACTGGAAAACTAGACCAACAGAATCTTAAGCCTGTAAACTACCTTAGCAGAAAACAACAACACAGAGTCAACAGAATATGCTACATTCATGCTTACGCTAAACTAATTATATGAATATTGAACCCTGGGTTCTGTCTAGAAAAGGGTAATCCTGCTGTGCTTCTTTGCACTTAGGCAACGTGGAGTTTTAACCCAGTTTTTCTCCTTGTTCTTTTTCTACTAGATGGTTCTTTGTATCATAGCAGAAATTTCTTTCTTGCTGCTTCATAATTAAAGACAATCAGAATTCCTGCAGTTTCAGGAAAAATTGAAAGGCTTTTTTCATAGTTTTTTGCTCAGCAAGAAAGGTTAGAATATGCTTGTATCTGAACGATTCTGTAGGCATTCTGTAGTAGTTTTACTGATACATAATTCACTCATCTACAACTTACAGTTTTAGGCAATCACTAACCAGTGGGTGGTAATGGACTAAGCTAGATGTGACTAAGGAGCTTGCCATCAATCACAGGTAAAGGAACCCACAACAGTCTGGCTGGTCAAGGCAGCAGCACCTAAATGTGCATCCTGAATAGGATGTGGAGTAGGCCGGGCTGCAACGTTCACCAGCTCATACAAGACCAAATGGAAGGCCAGACTTCATCAGAACCTGGCCTAAAACCCAATGGCATGTATGAGAACTGGGTCTGGGAGTGGATTAAGTGTAGAAACTTGGGAAACGCCCCTGGAGAGTCATAGCTCCACTGGTGAACAGGTGGTCCAGACATGGGGTCAGACAAGCTGGGCAAAGTAGCTCCAACAGCTGGCTAATGTGTTAATTGATAATGGAACACGGTGTACCGGGCAGGACTGAGCAAACCCTAGCACACAAGTGAAACTAGAGACATGGAGCACAGGTCATACTGAGCTAGGCTCTTGTACCTACTGGTATGTGTGAGCCAGGGATGTTAAGCCACAATTCTAAGGCAGAGGTCGGGACAGGTGAGGGGCTGAGGAAAGCTGAGCCAGAGCAACCACTGGCATGCGTGTGATCTATGGCTGGGAAAAGGCCCAGTTGGGGAGCTAAGGGGACAGCCCTAGCTGACTTGAGGTTCCCACCAAGGGGCGCATGGGCTGGAATGAGGGCTGCATTCTGATCAGGGAATGGTTGTAATCTCCCTTGGCACAAGTGTGGACTGGGATTGGTTGCACCAGGCCAGGCCAGACTCCAACACCCTCTGGTGTCCTGGAGGGCCAGGGTGAATGTGAGATGGACTAGGCAAGGTCTCAACCCCTACTGAGCCATGTGTGAGCCATATGTGGATATGGATGAGCCTTGGCTGGGCTGAAACATCCAACAGCAAGGACCAGTTTGGGTCGAAGGCCAGTCAAGAAAAGCCACTGTTCCTGCTAGGACAGGAGGTGAACTGAGCAGGACTGGCTCATGGACCCACTGGTATGTGCAAAATCTGGCATTGGAGGGGTTCTGATGGAGGAGCCCGGGCAACTCATCTGGCAGGACATAGTCCCTGCAGGTAAGTGCAAAAAACATGATAGGAAACAGCCCAGCAATAGGCCATGGAAAGTTTCCCACTGGCATGCATTTGGCATGGGTTAGGGGCAGACCAGGCTGAATAAGTTCACGTGATCCACTGGCAAATCTGAGCACCAGAACAGAGTGTGTGTCGAGCTGGGTTTGGTTGCAACAAAAACCAGTGCACCATATGGAATGCCAAGGTGAGGTTGACTGTACCAGATGTGACCAGAGTGCCCAACCAGTACACGTGAGAGAACCAGGAAGGGAG